GTATAAGCAAGTCTCGAGCAATATGTTGTAAATGTTAATAGATTTGAACTATACTTAGTATGAAATCAATGTATTTTAAATATATTACTTTTTTCTAGGGAAGATTCTTCAGAAACATCAAAAAATCTTACAGGCACCACACTTTTGAATGGAAGTCTATATATTTTCTGCTACCACTCTCAGCTTAAATTTGACCATGTTTCAACATTTCCACAAAAGTCTGCAGATTCCACCTGGTTCATTTATATATCTGGCGACGAACAAAAGCAGTTAGCGATAGCTGAGATTCAGAGCAGGAAAGGTAAGTATTTCTTCTCTGTATTTTTCTGCGGAGAAGTTAGAGGCCTGTTAGGGGATGACAAGTCATGTGCAGAACAAGTGAGAGAAATGACACCGGTGTTTCAAACAAGCCCACGGGGAGAGCGATAGAAGGGGAAAAGAAAAGAAAAAGACAGCAGGCAGACACACAAGCTCTTCCCTGACGCCTAATAAAGAATCTTCTCCCATTTCCGTCCACTAAGATGGAGCACACCGTCATTAGCTCCAGCTCAGGGGGGCACTGCAGGAGTTTTAGCCCAAGTAAACCACCTCTAATTGGGCTCTGTCTCTGTGGCAGGCCCAGTTTTTTTCCAGATAAATACGGAGCTTCCTGAACGCTAGGCTGAAAACTCGAGACTATGGAGGAGAGCTCCCAGAGCTCAAGTGTTCAGCGCACTCTGATACTGCACTATTAACACACACTCAGTTGAGATTTTGATGGTGGTGTGACGTCCGGGAGGAAAACAGTTTGAATAAAAAAAGTTTATCTCTGCTGCTCCTCAGAACTGGGCCATTTCTTATGCACTGACGGGAGATAACGATGGAGATCATTTTTCATAAGATAATTAGTCTTGCATAGCTAGACACCGTGAGCCTGCATTTTTTCAAACCTTCGAGCATCTGGAGTTTCCCCTCTGTGAACAAGAAGAAACTGTAAGAGCGTTGAACGAGTGTTCATGTAGACCAATAAGCTTGGGAAAACGTGCATATTAAGGTCCACTTGTAAGACTGGCCAGCACAACGAAATGGTTTATTTTCATCTGTCACCAAGAGATTTAAGACTTAAGATTTAAGACCAATTACAATTAAAATCCTGGCAACTGACTGAAACTACAACCAAAATAAATTATGCTTGTAATGTAACTAGTATTTTTCAGTGCAGTAGTTTTTGCTTGACAGTAGTTGAGGAGTTCAATAGAAAACAGCTTTTCCAGAAACAAGCTACTTTTTTTCCTGTAAGTGACAGTATAGCTTGACAACCGATGCTATGAGTAACGAAACACGCTCTCCTATCTATTTGTAATTCGGTTGGGAAATCTGATATTTGTTTTATTGAATCAGTTCATTCCGATGGTTTGTTTAGCAAATCAGTTCATTGAGCTTAATTTTGAGCTACAGGCAAAAGAAGTGAAAAATTTCAGTTTTGGTTGAATTTGAGATTTTCACAAAAAGGAGTTCATTAAGCCCTCTTCTAGTGATCCCAATGCTCCAAATAGTAATTAAACATCTAAAATGCTTTTCCAGAAACAAGCTACTTTTTTCCCTGTAAGTGACAGTATAGCTTGACAACCGATGCTATGAGTAACAAAACACGCTCTCCTATCTATTTGTAATTCGGTTGGGAAATCTGATATTTGTTTTATTGAATCAGTTCATTCCGATGGTTTGTTTAGCAAATCAGTTCATTGAGCTTAATTTTGAGCTACAGGCAAAAGAAGTGAAAAATTTTCACAAAAAGGAGTTCATTAAGCCCTCTTCTAGCGATCCCAATGCTCCAAATAGTAATTAAACATCTAAAATTATCTTTATTTGTACATTTTCTGAGAGGAGTACCTTTTTCTCTGCTCACTTCTGGACGATGCTGGACAATCACTGCTGCTGCTTCTCACCACAAGTTGTAGGTCTATTGTTGCAAAGCGCAGCATTCCAGCTTTGTGAATATTCATATTGAATTCTCGATTACATGCCGAGTCCAAACCAGTGAAATATGGTCAGCTGACTGACATTTGCAAAGCATGTGCATAAGACACGCCTCTCCTAGAGCGCACAATCTCCCTATAAAGTACTTCATTGTGAAATATGTCTTGGCGAGATTCACATAAGACTGCTGTCTTACATGAACGTTTAGTTAATGGTTGGTAAAAAATCTGCTGTGTAATATTATATTAGATCCATGCATTACAGTAGGTCTTAATGTAGATCTGAATGTTAATCATACATTAAAAGAAAAGACGGAATCACTTGCTGCTCTTGATTAAAATACTGTTTATTTGCATCTTTGTTCTTATTTTTAATAACAAAGATAAAACAAAAAATAGCTATATTGTAATTAATAATATAGTAATTATTATTAAGAAATAAATATGCAACGTTGCTTGGTTATTTTGCTTTGTAATCTTCAGAAAACTTTAACTCGATTTTTCTCAAAATCAACTCTGCTGACTCTATCGCCTTCAAACAGCTGTAGCTCAGAATTTTTTTTGTCCGATTTCAACAAGTCATATATCATTCATTTTGAAGGTATTTTAAGGGAGAATGTGAAACTAAATAGAACTCATTTTTTATTTCTGACTCATTTTGCCAGTCACAAATAGAAAAAAAAAATCTAAATAAATGCTGCTTAGTGAATAAAATTACATATTTTAGAATTTTTTTTAATTTTTTTTAGTATTCAGTGTTTTCAGTTAATATTTTTATTTTATTTTAATATTTTAGTTTATGTATGATGGTACCACCCTAAACCTTCTTCCTAAACCAAGTTCCATGTCATATATTTCAGATGTTTAAATTATTTATGATCTTATAATGGTCTAAAATATATTTTTGCCTTTAATGCATTGAGCTTCGTTTTATTAGCAGCTTTTAGTGTATATTTTATATATTTTTTATATATGTTATAATAATTTTATGTATTTTATATCTTTTTAAAATATTTTTGAACATTTGCTAACTATTTTTATTTTTTTTCACACATCCTAATAGCCACAGGGCAGACAGCTGCATCAAATAGTGGGTCAAATCACCCCACCGACTCTACTACAAAGACACGGCAGAGCTGAGAGTAGCTCCAAATTGCCTCTGTAAATACCCGATGGTATTTATCTCATGAAACCGTCGTGAGAAGTGCTGGGTTTGCACTTTGTGGCAGACAGGGCTGTCTAACAGACAAAGCAATATGAGGTAGAGGGTGTTTGAGGTCACGTCCTTATGCCCTGAAAGAAGTCATTCTAATCGGCCAGCCAAGGGTAGAACTTTGAAGTGTCAGGGGATTGTGGGTAGCCTGTCCAATGTCTGGAGTCAGCTTGATACGTTTGAAGGATCTGAGAGTGCATTTGCGTGCGTGTGCATGGAGAATATTGATGAAGCAAACCTGCGTCCGCTCAAAACTGCGATGCAGCTGCGTGCGTCGGGAGTAAAAACTCCCTCCGAACTCCAGCCTGCTCCACCTGCGGTCCCCTCGGCTCCAGACTCCCGACCACTGAGACACTTCATCTAATGTGACAGGTGCACATTCCTCACTTTCTGTAACTCTCAACCAATCTGTCACCATATGGCCCTATTCCTCTCTTGCTAGTACTCTAGCATTCAAAGCAGAACTTTTCGTATACCATGCATGCCGTTGCAGCCCTGCTTTGCATGCGTGCCATCGCATGACCTATTTTTCAGGCGGCGCTTGATTCATCTGAAAGTGAGTGTCAATTTTTTTATGGGAGAGAGCGACAGAGAGACGGAGCGAGAGGAATCTGTGCGGAGATGGATGGTGACTGGGGCTGATGGACGTGGAGTGTGTGTGAATGTGTGTTTATGCGTGTGTGTGTCCTGGCTCTTCATGGATTCTGCGGTGTGAACGCATGTGCCGACACGGTACTGGACACGCGACGTGGTGCTGGGTGGGGTACTAAAGGAACTGGGTTGTGGTGTGTATCGGAGCACCTGGTGAATAAAAGATCTGAACGATAGGGGGATGGGAACCGAAGGAAAAGAGAGAGAGAGAGAGAGAGAGAGAACAAGAAATAGACACAAAAAGAGTGTGTGTCTCATAAATAGTGTATATGGCAATAGAGGAGAGTATTGCTGACACTAGGGGATCAACCCTCCAGTCCTGCAAGAAGAGATACACTATACTACACAATAAACAAACAAAAAAATACAATCCGCAGAGACCCAGCACACACAGGGTCTCTGGGTGGGTGGGTGACATGGATTTGTGTCTTTTGTGTCTGTGCACTGTAGACTGGGGTATAATTAGATGCAGTGACTGCCAAAATTCTAAATATGTATATATTATAAATACTCAAGTGAATATATATATATATAATGTAAATTAAAGTCTGGAAGTGATGAAATTTGTATAATTTTATTTAGGACAATTACTGTATAATTACTCACAAAAATATATAGATTATATTATTTTATATAATTACATTTAAATATAATCTAATGTAATATAAATAAAAAAATAATGCATTTAAATAATTGTTCATATAAATGTAAAATATAAAAATGTATATTATACAGTGTGTAAAACCGTAATTTTGTAAAAATCTATTTTATTAGTTTTAAGTGTTATAAATGCATCTAGTATAATTAGTCATCAAACAAATAGATTATAATATTTTATTAAATAATTGTTGTTATTGTAACAAAATATGAATGGAAATGAATAATGCATTTTAGTAATTATTATATTTTATTTTATTATATTATATTATATTATATAATTTATATAATTTGAATCATATTATTTTATAATACATTTTTATATATTTTTAATAATATAACAATACTGTCCCCTTTATCAAGACACAACACAACAGATCATTAATCATGTATGTATGTATGTTTAATGACATCACACAACATAATATGCTGTCAATAAAAATGAACAAAAGCTCTATAATTTTCCCAAAATGAAATCTGCAGCCCTAGCAGGTGTCTTTTGGTGTTTTTGTGAAACTTACCGTGTCTCCAGCGGGACACTGCTGTTAAGAGCCCAACTGTCCTGGAGCTGGACGGATTCAGGGGTGGAGGGTCCATCTGGCGGGGCGGCAGTAAGAGCGTGGCTCTGCGGGTTCCGCCGGCTGGCCTGGTTGCTGCGATTGAGGGAATTAGCTGATGACTGGTGGTGGTTATGCGGGGGAGGCAGAGGAGGTCGCAGGGAGGTCTGACTGTGATGACTGGACGCACCTGAAAGAGAGAGAGAAAAGGGAGATTAATCACAGAACATCTCTTCCTTTATGTTATGCTGTCTGTAAAATGTTTTTAGACCACAAATTCAGAACATCCTGTTGTTCAGGTTGCTTTGATTCAGTGCAACTGGACTCTGTTTACTGTTCAGTAGTCATGAGTGAAACGCTTGTAATTGAAAGGAGGAGAGGTGAAATGCTAGACCTATTGCAACAGAGAGAAGGAGCAATTATGGAAAATAAGATCTAAGCAGACACAAAAAGAAGACTTTGATCAAATCTATTGTTAGGTGGAGAAATAAAACATGACGTCTCTATGAGTATGAAAACAAAAATAAATTTGCATTGCCTTCTAGCTCCTGACATGCTTGCTACAATAAAAAATCTATTTAACATTTATAGTTGAATACAGCTATATATATATATATATATATATGAATGTGTGTGTGTGTGTGTGTGTGTGTGTGTGTGTGTATGTG